AAAAAACAAAATAAAAGAGAAGAACTCTAGTACGACTCTTTCTCGTGACCTTGGTCTTCATCTTCACCTAAATACATATAAGGAAGATGGGTGAGCCATTGCCCAGTGAATAGTGATAAAGTAAGGCAGTAAATAAATAAACATCAATGAGCTTTATAAATATAACATTGAAACATAACTTGAACATATCTTTAACTTGAACAAGGGAAAACATATTTGACTTAAAACATTACATAATGATGGACATCTCAAGGATTACAAGATGCTTAACCCGCCTGGGTATCGGCTAAGCTAAACTAGATGAGCTCGACCATAATACATAATTTGATATTCCCCCAATTGTGGGACATGATCCTAGAATGCCATCTAGGTACATGATAAAAGAGTATAGAATGCTGATTGATAACAAAACACATCATAGCTTGTAAACATAATCAAGGTTTGCATTGAAAACATAATTGTTTGAACATATGTTACTAAATCACTACTCACAAATGGCTTGGTTAAACAAGGGGTTTCTTTCTTCTTCCAAAGCTTGACCTACACAAAACGATAGCAAGATATTGAAAAACTTACTTAACTTGTACAAACTTAACAAATTGAATACCTAAGCTTAGCTTAATGCTTTTCTTAAATTTCCTTCATCCATTAAGTTCAACCTAATCTTAATCTAAGTCTTAAACATATGTATAACAAGTGCCAAATGCATAAAGAGGTGTTCTATGCGATCGGTGCCTTCGATAAAAGATTATAGGCAAAATGGGGATTTCCGCACGTGTAGAATATAGGGCCGCAAGTGTGGTTTGGTCAAGGCACGTGCCGGAAACAAGGCTGCTATAGACACCCCATTTTGACCAGCCTTAAGACTTAGGCGCTCTTTTCTGAACACCAAAAGATGAAAGTTGGAACGTGCCATCTTATGATTCCCTCAACAAGAAGCTCAGGAGTCAATCTTTAATCCAAACCTTACACCCATTTTGGCCAAAATATTTTAGACCCTCTTAAACCCCTTTTCAAACATTTCTACAAAGTTCCGATACTGCATTTTCAAAATTCAAGTGTCATATTTTTTTTTTAGTAAATTGAGCAAGGTCAAAGTGGAAATGAGTGGAAGGAATGAGAATTTTTTGGAAAAAAACCTTGTTTTCCCCTTTGAAAAGTTGTCTAGCCAAATGATTTTTTTGTTTGGCCAGATGATTTGTTCAGATAACAGAGCAGTTTCGGGAAATTCGGCATTAACAGAGCAGTTTCAGAAAATTCGACATTTTCTTTGAACTTCACACAAATATCTTAGCTATTTTTCCTTTGAGCTTCCTCTACAAGTTTTTCAGATATTTTCTTTGCCTCAAAAGTCTATAAATATGACCCTTTCTTTTCATTCCAGGAGGTTACAAATTTTTGTTTACACCCACACCTTATTTTCAACCTTCTTCTCCTTTTTCTTCACTATTTCTTCATTGATACACCCCCCAAAACTCCATTAAAGCTAAAATTAAGGTTGAGAAATATTTTTAAAGGGTTACAAAATGTTACAAAATATTTCACAAGACAAAGACTTTTTGGAGAGCCCATCTCCTGCACTTCATCTTCAACCTCCATTTCTCATACACGAACCATCAAAACTCCAATAAAACTTGGCTCTAAGCTTCTTGCTAAGGATCCTAAGAACTATAAGTCATACCTAAAGGACCTTGAGGGTTTCAAGAAAGAGTTTGACAGCCAAGAATTTACCTTCTTTCATGGGGTGAAACTTTTGAACCTTTTCTCATCTTTTCTCTCTTTTTCTTCATTTATAATCTTTATATCTCACTGGTAGCTTGTTGTAATGATGTGATGGGTCCTCATGGATATGGAAGGAACTAGGATATAGCCACTCATCCATTGAGTTGATTGTTCTCCTCATTTTCTTACACTTTTGCACACTTTTCTTACTTTCTAGTGCTATAATCCATTGTTCTTACGTATTTCTAGAACCATGTGCATGTGGAGGTAGTAGAAAGTAGCCACCCATTCACAAGTTTGATTATGTAGAGTTGTTTCTTTCATTTTGTACACTTTTCATCACATATCTCATCATCTTACCATATTGGCCCATATGCTTCAACCCATGCTCAATCTTAATGAGTGGTGGAGGTTGTTTCATGGGGTTAGTTGAATGGTTTGCAAGATTGATGTTGAGAAAGTGGTCGGTTTTCATTTTTATTGATTTTCCTTGGAAGCAAAACAAGAGATTCTATATCAAGAATGTTGAAAGCTCCCTTCTCAATCAATCATGAACATAGAAAGGGGTGGAAACATCATTGTTCCATGAGTAGAAGAAGAGTTCTCAATAGTTTTTGATGAATCCCTTACTTTAGAAGCAAAGCTTCCGCTAAGAAATGATGTGCATTAATCTACTCGCTCCAATTAATAGCATGGATTTAGATATTAACTTACCCTTATTCATAAAGAGATGATGTAGGTTCCCATCTATTTCTTAGGTTTGAATTTGATTTTTCTTTAACCCATTTAATTTGATGTATTGTTACAAAATATCTGTCTTATATATCGGTTTTATACTATTGTTGAGGGTTGAGGCCTATCTACCTCCTCCTTACTTGTTCATGTAACAAAGAGAGGTAGAAGGAATGAGCACCCCTTGCAAGATGTATTTTGCTTCTGTTTTGGATTTGCTACACCAAACAGAGTGTTACGACCCAAACCCTTCCCTATATGTTTAAGTCATGACCGGCTAGTAATCCCAGATTACTTTCAGCCTCAATGACAAAGTTAATCATAATATAAAAATGGGGCTTAGTGGAAGCCATAGTATAATATAAAAACAGACCATTGATGAGTGCATACATGCTGAAATCATATATATTAAAAATCTTAAACTCCATACAACTTATATACAATATCCCAAAGTTACACTCCTCATACAACATCATCCATACAAGTTCCAAAATATCCAAAGAAACAAAACAAAACAAAAGATAGGTTAAAAAAGCTTGACTCCTCTGGAGTCTAAGAATGCCCCTTCACGGAGGCACCTTCCAATACGGCTTCACTGGGGTAGACATTGAGGCAACCTTAAACTTGATATCTCGCTTGCTCACCTATATATATCTATATATATATAAGGGAGAGAGGTGAGCTGAAACCCAGTGAGTAATATCAGCATAAAATATATGTGTACGGGGAGCAAATATTCCGGCAAGCCCGTACTGCTTTCTTCCGAGCTCTGTTTATGTCTGATCACCTGCGCGCAAAGAATGGTGAGCTACCCGGCGGTGTGTGGCCAGAAAAACCCTCCGACGACCAAGTTAGCACACACCTTAGGATAGAGAGAGAGAGAGGTGTTTTTGTGTAAGAAATTCCTTACAAAGTGTACATCTGTCGCGTATGGGGGGCACAGACAAACTTATATACCCTCTGCGCCCCATATCCACTCCCAGTCATCTCCTGACACGTGGCTCTCTATCCTATCTGTTAGCATAAACCCTGCCGATCATCACCTAATCACAACTGCCTGCCTTCTCAGCTGGAGCTCGGCAGCCGAGCTGCTCTACCCACGGCCGTGCTGTGCTTCATACCCAAGCACTTCACTGGCTAGGCCCAGGGAGGACCGGGCTAGGCGGCATCTCGGCAAAGCCGAGCCCGGGGCACCTCCTGTGGTCGGCCTTCCTGCCGATCGAACGGTTTCCTCGGTTGACCACGCCTTTCCGGGCACCGATCGCTCAGCTTGTCTGGCTTCAGCCATCCCCTGATCAGGCAGCTTAGTCCAACCGAGCACTGCCTTGCCGAGCTTCTTTACGGTCCGGGGCGGCACACACTTGGCCCAATTCCTACCCGGGCCAAGTTCTGGCAGTCCATCTCCGGGCGGATAGTCGATCATCTCGGCCCCATGCACGGTTGGGCTCTCAACCTGCTCGGCCGTTGCCTCGGCCCAATTCCAGATCATAAATCACCCCTCTCAATAATGATAGATGGAATAAGTCTCTATGTACACCGAATTAAACCACAATAAATAAATAAATAAATAATACACGATGGGGCTTACCTCTGGTGAAAATAATGAGGCTAATCTGATAGGCTTGATCATGCTAACGTGTACATTCTTTATACTTTTATGGTTTAATTCCATTTTGGAACAAATTCTTAGTTTCTCACCCACCATTTGTCCATTATGTAAAAAAATAATACTAAAATAAAAATAAAATTAAATAACACTCGGTTTAATGAATATGTAAGTCTTTAGAATTGAAACAATTCAAAAAATTCTGCTTTTAAATAAGAGAAGTTAAAATATGATTTACTTCCCAATTTTTCAACTAACATAGGTTTCTTAATTTTGAATTTTGTTAATATACAAAATCTAAACAATCAGTTTAAAATATAAATTTAAAGGTAAGACAAGTAGTTTAGGATAGGAGATGGTGAGACCTTTTCTTCCCCACAAGACAAGGTTTGGATTCACCACTAAATGTAAATTGGTGAAGCATCCAAGTGTATTTAAGATAAAATTTTCAAAACCAGTTTAGTCCTTGATTTCCTATTTTCTATTGTTGTTAAGAATTTTGACTGCAATCCCAATATTTAATGAAAATTTGAATCTCAAAACTTCCATCAGATTTTAATGCTTAACTGAACTTGAAATTTTTAGGCTTCGGCTCTAAAGAATGAGAATCAACTTTATGGCCAATGATAATTCAAGCCTATTACTCTTCCTTTTGGCCAAGCACTAATCGTCAATAGAAGCTATCAATAGTTCGTGTCATGTGGACCATATAACAAGAGAGAAAATAATAAATTTTACAAACTTTTCTTACTGGCGTGGCAATGTAGCATGCAATCATGAAACTTTGTTATTTGAATGGCTCTGAAGGCCACTAGATAGTACCTTTTTAAGTAAATTTTCCGAATCACACCACACCTTTGACACAATGGAATGTTGTCGATGCAACTAAAATAATTATTCTGTTATTGTAAAACACATGAAAAATACTAACAAAAAGTTTCAACAAGTCTGTATAAAAACAAATTCATCTCTTTCCATATATGAGATGAGTTAAAATCATGTTACATGAATAAATGAGAAAAATCCCATTGTTCAAAACATAAAACAAAGAACTGATGGCATAAACAGCCAAAGCAGTGCAAAATCTCCCTACCAGTAATCAGCACAAGAACATTTCCCATCTTTGAAATGGTGAAACCTACTAGCATCTCGTACAATAATTTCTCGGTTTTCTGTCTCCGATATGTACTTGATAGCAACATGGCAATCACTGCAGAAACGCAAATTCTTCATCACCCGGATTGGAACACCCTCTGGGGTGTTCATCAGAGCAAAAGCAATTGCAAACTTTTCACTATGGTGTGCCAAGTTGTGTTCCTTCTCCTCAGCATCCATGTCATGTAAAACAGAGCCGGTGTCAGGCACGTAACCCAGCAGTTTCATTTCCCAAGTTATTTCTTTCAAGTACATATCAATCTCCATTGATTGTGGATGGGATTTGTCACCCATACAAAACTGGTGAACCTGTCAATTTCCCAACGTTGAAGCAATTCGGACCGTGCTTCGGTATTCCCACCGAGATTGCAACGATTTACTCGGCTACACCCCGACCTACAAGTATTCTGCTCTGCGCCGGAGTAGAGTAACTGACTTCCTCCGCGCTCCTTCGCCACCTCCAGACCCTACCCTTCCTGACGTCCCCTTAATCCGGTTAACAGACGAGCAAGAAATGGCCAAAAGAAGTCGAATCAAAAACCTCCTCATCGCAACCTCGGCCGAGATACCGAGCGTTGTCACTCACTCCCCGGCTGCCGGTCAATCAAGTGCCGCCGTGGTTGCCTTAGCTTCTCCAGCCGCCGGGCAGTCTAGCAGAGAAACACACCGGGCTGGAAAAAGACCACGGGCAGATCCCTCTGCCGAGCTCGTAGCCGAGCAGACAACCGAACATCCAACTGACGTTCTTGTCCCTGTGCCGGCCTGGCGACCACAACTGAAGCACCGGGGACAAGAAATCCCAGCCACTGCTTCGATCAAGGGCGACAAAGAGCATTTGCTCGCCTTCGATCTCTCCAAAGCTCTTCTACTACCGAGCGACGTGGTCGGCAGCGACCACGTCCCTGACACTCGGTTGGTCAAATCATCAGTGAAGTCTATGGCTAGGGTAAGTCAATGTTCCTCTGAAAATTTCACAAGTGTTTGCCCGGTTCCCTTTCTAATCAACTTTGCTTCTTGCAGGCCATTCAGAAACAACATCTCGTATTGGAGCGCATCCATAGGCTTCGGCAAAAGGCCAATGACACAGCCAGCCAAGTGGAGAGCCTCCAAGCCGAGCTCGGTCGGGCAAAGTCTTCGCTTGAGATTGCAAACGCCGATAACAACAGACTGCTCGGTCAGCTGGATGCGGCCGAGAAAAAACGAGAAGAGCTCCAGACCGAGGTAGACGAGCTCAAAAAGTCGAAGAAAAAAGCTTGCCGGGCTGCTAACAACGCCGGCTTTAACGAAGCCGAGCAGAGCTACAAGAAGCAAGTCTTTGCAACACAAGACATCTACTTCAAAGCAGGCTGGAAGTCCGCCTGCGAACACCTCGGCCAGGGCTCCGACATCGATGTATTTGCCAACCCTCCTCCAGCTTCGCTACCGGTCTACCTCGTGCCTTATGCAAACGACGTCTTTAGCGCTTTGCAAGCCGAGGCCGAGGAAGGGCTTGAAGAGGGAAAAGGTGAGACAGAATCTGAGGCAGAGGAGGCTGAGGTGCAAGAGCAGCCCGGCAATGACGAGCCCGGTGCCCATGACACAAGTCCTACCATCAACCTTGATGCCAGCGAGGACGAGTTTACCAATCTCTCCCCCTTAGTTTAGTTTTCTCTTCTTTTTTTTTTTGTATTTTTGCTTTCAACGCTTCTGATGTAACCGGGCTATGTCCCCACCTTTTGTATGGATTTTCTTATCAATGAAAAAGTCAAATTTTTCCAAGTGTTTGCACGGTTGCGATCAATTCCATTGTCAGCAAAACATCTCGGTATAAATCATTATTTGAACAAAACACTTCGTCAATCGGAATTCATAACTCGGTTGAAGTACTTAAGCAGAACAAAACAGCAAATTCACAAATTGAAATAACCGTCTCGGTTGGTAATAACAAAGTTGAACAAATCGCCAACACTTCCAACCGGATTAGATCATCTCGGTTGGGAATCCGAAGTTTGACAAGACACCAACTCTTTCAACTGGAGTAAATCATCTCGGTTGGGAATCCGAAGTTGGACAAGACACCAACTCTTCCAACCAGAGTAAATCATCTCGGCTGGGAATCCGAAGTTGGACAAGACACCAACTCTTCCAACCGGAGTAAATCATCTCGGTTGGGAATCCGAAGTTGGACAAAACACCAACTCTTCCAACCGGAGTAAATCATCTCGGTCCTTAACATTAAAACAACAGTCCAAGTGCTAAAGCAAAATTACTTCTATAAATTGACGAAAAGAATTACATGCTGTGGTGGCAAGCCAAAAAATTTCTTTGCACAAGAAAAGAAAGCAAAAGCTTAAAAATAATACAGTTTCAAGTTGGCCGCATTCCATGGCCGGGGTACTGCTCTTCCCTCTAAATCCTCCAAGTGGTAAGCCCCCTTGCCCGCCAGACCGGTGATCTTGTAGGGTCCTTCCCAATTTGCCCCTAGTTTGCCTTCTCCTAGCACCAGGGTGTTGCCCATAACCTTTCTCAAAACCTAATCACCAACCTTGAATGGTCTGGGGTGCACCGTCTTATTGTATTTCTTGGAGAGCTCTTGTTGGTAGGCGACCACATGGATGAGGGCTTTCTCCCGGCGCTCTTCCACTAGGTCCAGCTCCAAAGCAATAGCCTCGGCGTTCAGCTCGGGCTCAACTCTCGCTTCTTAGGGTGGGCATGCCAACTTCCAGGGGTATGACCACCTCCATGCCATAAGCCAAAGCATATGGAGTTTCCCCGGTAGATCGTTACGGGGTTGTTCGATATGCCCAAAGGACGCTGGGTAATTCCTCAGCCCATTTTCCCTTTGCCTTCTCCAGCCGTTTCTTCAACCCATCTAGTATAGTCTTGTTTGATGCCTCGGCTTGACCATTGGACTACGGGTAAGCCGGGGTGGAGTTGTAGAATTCTATCTTCAAATCTTCGCAAAATCCTCTGAAAAGGCGACCATCAAACTGGGTGCCGTTGTCAGAGATCAATATCTTGGGGACGCCAAACCGCGTGACCACGTTCTGCCAGACAAACCGCTTCACGTCTTTCTCTTTGATGGTTGCCAGGGGCTCAGCTTCAACCCATTTCGTGAAGTAATCTGTGGCCGCGATGAAGAATTTCCGGTTGCCTGGTGCTGTTGGCAGTGGTCCCACTATATCTAGCCCCCACATGGCAAAGGGCCAAGGAGTGGTGAGGGGAAGAAGTTCCCTAGCAGGCTGATGGATCTGATGGGCGAATTTTTGGCATTTTTTGCACCCGTGGACGTACTTTTGTGCGTCTGCCTGCATGCATGGCCACCAGTATCCCTGCGAGATAGCTCGGTAGGCCAAGGACCTGCCCCCTATGTGGCTGCCACAAATGCCTTCGTGAATTTCGTACAAGAAGGCCTCCACACTATTCGGGTGCACGCACTTTAGATAAGGACCAGTGAAGGACTTCTTATACAACGCGCCAGATGGAGAGAGCCAAAACCACTCTGACTTCACCCGAATTCTGTGTGCGTCTTTCTTGTCAGTTGGAAGAGTCCGGTCTCTGAGGAAAAAGATCAAGGGGTCCATCCAGGAAGGACCTAGCGCGGCGCAGAGTACATCCGTCTGCCCAGCGTCTTCAATGCTTGGCTGCGGAAGAAAGTCAATTAACAGGGGGTTTGGAGATGTACTATCTACCATGGAAGCGAGACCGGCCAGTTCATCAGCTTGGCTGTTTTCTTCCTGGCCAATCTGCTGGACCTTGATTGCCTCAAACTGCTTGATATGTTCCCTGACCAGAGCTTGGTACTTCGCCATCTTGTCGTCCTTTGCTTCATAAATCCCAGAGACTTGGTTAACCACAAGCTGGGAATCACTGTACACCAGGAGCTCGGCAGCCTTCAGTTGGATTGTGCTCTTGAGCCCGGCGAGAAGTGCCTCGTACTCAGCCTCGTTGTTAGATGCTGGGAAGCCAAGCGTGATAGAATGTTCAATGGTTAGGCCATCCGGGGAGATAAGAACGATACCTAGGCCGGCACCATAACGGTTGGACGCTCCATCAACAAAAAGCTTCCACATCTGATGGGTCCTGAGGGTTGCGAAGGGCAGTGGGATCACCACTGCTCGGCTGTGCGGTTTCAAGTTCTGTGTTGACCGGTTCCAATTCAGTCCCCCTTGGCGATTCGGCACCGGACTCAGCAAGTTCTATAATGCTCAAGTCCGTGGGCGAATCATCAGGTTGCGGTGTTAAGCCGGCCGCAGGTTCTGAGCTGTGTGGGTCCATTCCTTCCCCCCTTGATAATTCGGCACCGGACTCAGCAAGTCGATCTATAATGCTCAAGTCCGTAGGCGAATCATCAGGTTGCGGTGTTACGCCGGCCGCAGGTCCTGAGCTGCGTGGTTCAATTTCTTCCCCCCTTGGCGATGCGGAACCGGACAGAGTGGATGGGTCGGTGATACTCAACTCCGTCATCGCATCACCGGGTGGTATAACCGTGCAAACTGAGGGTGCTTCACTGGTGCGCGCAAACTCCGCGTCGCTACCTCC